TTCACAAATCGCACCCTGTATATATACACACACACACACACACACACACACAGACACACACATTTTTTACTTTTTTTAAATAAAATATTTTAAATACATTTTTAATAATTATTTATATTATTTTATATTATATATATATATATTTATATTTTGTATTTATATATTATTTTATATTTTATATATTTTATTATGTAATTTTAAATTTTTAGTGCTGTGCAATAGCTCAAAAAATATTAAAAGTTAATATACAATGCATATATATTCAGCAATATAATGTAATGTTTATTTACATGCTTTGATACAATGCAGATATTTGAGTGACTCTGTTATTGATTTCACATATGTGACCCTGGACCACAAAACCAGTCTTAAGTGTCAATTTTTCAAAATTTAGATTTATACATCATCTGTAAGCTGAATAAATAAGCTCTCCATTGTATTCTGTCCGCTTCCTCTATTTCTGCTTTGATGAACAATCTTTGAGTTCAGCATCACCTGCATGGCAATCATTTACCAGCATCTCATACTAAATTAGTTTTATTTTCATTTTAAAAAGACAGTTCGCTGCCTTCCAAACATTCCCCTACTAGTTGCCTTTTTTATCTCAAATTGATGGATTTAATTACTTACTGCTGGATGTGTAAGTGTTTATTTTCTGCCCTCAATCTCTGTCCACGCACCATAAATCAGTATCCAGCTGAAGTTTCTTGCTCTGCTTCAGTCAAGAAGCACTTGAAAAGCAGGGCCAAGATAAGAGACAGGTGTGTGTGTGTGAGAGTTTAGTCGGCGAGCGTATTCGCCGAGACCTGTGAACATGGATTTGAGGGGGAGAAAGAGGCAGTGGATTGTTTTGGAGAGTTCTTGTTTTAAGGTTACACAACGTGCCCGTCTTCAGAAGGTCATCATAAGACTCCGACATCTCCCCGAGGCGCGTGAACCGAGCTTGTTTTGCGCATGATGTTCACTGATCCGGCTCGCCAGAACGTCAGCCCGCTGGAGCGTCGTGCCCAAAGGCTCTTCTGATTCTTCCTTGAAAGTCTGGACCTCACAAACCCGCTGCGGGAAAGTGATTCACGATTGCACAAGATACTGTTCAAGGCAGAATTCCACTTTCTCGTACATCTTCAATTTGTTTATGCATCAAACGGCGGCCCCGTACCTTTCGTTCACTTTCCAAATTCTCTTTCATGTTGATCACAAAGAGAAGTTCTAATGATTTGCTGTCCTTGAAGCAGAAAGCGGCTCGGCAAAATAAGAACAATTAACCACATGTTCCACCAAGGCCCTCAGACACCTGCTATACGGCTCCTGCCAGCTCTTACAACAAGCCTTGAAATGCTGTCATTTTCAAAAAGTGTTTTTTGAATATTTTACAGTCGATTTGGAATAAAGTGGCACCAAATTGTGATTTGAGACTTAAATGTCGTCACATTATGTAACAAAATATAAATTTAAGAGGCATCAGAGAGTAACCACAGATGTAGTTCATCACATTAACTATAAAAACAATCCAACATTCGTCAACCACAAAGTGCCCTAATGAAATGGTTCAAGAAAAACGTCTATGGTTTGCACAGAATTTCCCATCAAAATTTAATTTAACTCTGCTGTTCATGGATGGCAGTTGCGCGGTGTTAATTGCGTCAGGAAAATGGTCTGAATTGTACGAATAAAGCACATCTATAATGAGCCTAATTTGCACTTTAGTGCTGAAAAGAATGACAGTGACATTTTAAATACGGTGTAGAGCACATTTAGCACAAACTAGCTGTATGGCGATTATTAAAGAATCTGCAAGTTTTTGCGCTAAACTGTTGCACGCAAAAAAATGGAGCAACTGATCAGTGAACAATTAATTAATTAGTATTATATCGTGAATGTTGTGTGTGTGTGTATATATATATATATATATATTATAGAATTTAATACATTTTCCCTTTAAATTTTTCTATGTTAGGTTTTTATTTTAATTTTAAGTTTTAGTTTTTGCTATGTGGATTTTTAAAATACAGTAACACTTTACAAAAAGGTTCCATTGGTTTGCTATATTTTATGCATTAACTAACAATAAATAATACATTTGTTACAGTATGTATTAATCTTAGTTCTGTCATGACAACTCTCTGAGGGATTGGCATGGTAATGCACATGACAATGTTAATGTATTTGGTCTTGGCGGAATAGATCTGCTACGCTGAGTACCAAGTACCGAAACTTGCTGCTACAAATATAACATACATGAAATAACCCCCATATAGCATACATGAATCACCTCTTAGCAGATCTATACAGGTGGAGCTGGGGAAGGTGGAGGGTTTCTGAAGCAAGCTGCGACTGCTACGGCAAGCACTAGTCATATATTTGAATGTTGAGCAGCGAGCTCATTGGCTACCGATACAGGAGAGAACCAATCAGCTGGGCCATGTGATAATGATGTCATTAGGTCAGATTGAGTTAGACCTATCGGACTGCGCCATCTAGAGTTTCATGCCAGAACTCTGTATTTAACATTAGTTCATAAAATTACAACTGTTCATTGTTAGTCCATGTAAGCTCAGGTCCATTAAATAACATTAATAGATACAACATTTGATTTTAATAATGTATTAATAAACATTAACTAAGATGCTTTAGAACTATTTGTATTGTTAGTTTATGTTAACTAATGATAACAAATGGAACCTTATTGTAAAGTGTAGCCTAAAATACCTCTACATAATTTAAATAATACATATCATTTAAAATACTTTAATTTATTAATGACTTAATTAATGAGGCTTTTTTCTTCATCGGGGCAGTTGTGCATTTGTGTCTCTATGCCTTCAAAAAATATCAAAATAAATCATAAAACAGAATATGCTTGAAGTGCGTGTATGTATGAATTGAATTTTGAATATATTTCTGAATAAATGAATAGTTAAGCATCATGTCACTGACCCAACACTATGCATCCTAGTTTTAATCCAAGTGCAATTAATACCAATTGTATCTCAATTAAGTTTGAGTCCAAACCTTTGATCCTCATTGCACATTCTCGACTGCACGTTTAATCAAACACGTCTATATTCAAAAGCCAGAATCTAATTTGAAATGATCACATTTTATTAATGAGCTTCATATTGCATTAGTTGCAATAATCAGCATGTGTGTGGCGTGCTGTGATAATGACATTAGAGACCTCTGCTGTTCTTTGTTAGTCGATTAATCCGCTATTTGTCACCATTGTTTTACGCGGCTCGGGAAAGTAAATGTTGTTGACACACGGCGGTAGTTTTTGTCTCGGCAGGTGCGGTGATTCACTCTCGCGGTGTCTCTCGGCAGCGGTGCGCTGCGGTTCTGTCTCTCCCCGCCGAGTGTGTTTAATTAGTCGCCGATGTCGGTTGTCAGTGTTGCGGCAGGCGAGTCGAGCGAGCAAACATGTTCTGAGGTGTGGATATTGAGGAGATATTGAGATGTGAGCCCTGAGGGAGGCTTCCTTACAGAGGAACGACGCTCGATGAGCTGCAGACATGGGTCAGGGATCCACGACTGCAGTGTGAACACATATCCTGCATTCCTGTAGAGGTTTAGTGCAGGAGAAACATGTTTCTGTGAAATAGAATGGATGGGGTTGGAAAGGTTAGATCATGTGTTGGGCCCACCTGCACTTGTAAAAAGAAAAACAAAAAGATTAAGATTAAAGAAAATATTATAACCTCTATTTCATGTCTTTTTTTTTTTTCGGACAATGTTTTATAATAAATTTAAGATTTTATTTTTAACCAGAATTCAAAAATGCATTTACAATGCAATTTTTGAGAATCAATGCAACATTTACAATGCAACATATATTTACAATGCAAGTCATGCAATATCACGTCTGTATTTTAGAAAAAAAATATTTTATTAAAATTTTGTATTTTTTAATCAGGATCTATTTATTTATTCAAAAATACATTTACAATGCAATTCATGCAACTAGTGGTTATTCTATGATGAATGTGTTTAATTCAATATGTTGGGAAGCATGTGAATGTGATACAACCTGATTTCATAATGAATTAAAAAAAGGTCTCATTGGCATTTTTTTTAAAGAATAAACATTTGTTATTTCTTTGAAAAAGGGAGAGAAGCAATTTTTGTTATTATTCAAAAATGTCAAATATTATTAAATTTTTCTAAAATGTCTGTCCTCCAAATTAAAGTTATGCGCAACCAGTATGCAAAAAGTGCACGCAGGAAAAAATTAAAAATGTAATTATATCATAGAGAGGACCACTGGAGACCATTATGACTGTATCAAGGTGTAATTTGATAATTTGGTCTTTTTTATATAAAAAAAAAACATGATAACGGTATTAATAATTTGTGATTTTTGTACAAAAAAGGAAATAAAAAAACGTGAACACAAATTATTATTTTTTTTAATAATTATTAATATGTGCACACTTTCATGCATTAATATAAAGGAAAATATAACTTTTTTACTAGGTTACATCATGTTTTATGTGTAATTTAAGTCTTGAAAAAGTTTTGAAAAACCATAAGAAACAACAAAGATTACATTTCTACAAAATTTGCACATTTTCAACATTTTCATTCATTTTAATGTACAGCTCAATTGTAGTAAAGGCTTATTTTTGTCTTTGATGATATTTAAAATAGTGTTTTCTCTTTCTCATTTTGTTCTTTCTGCTTTAATTTTTTTATTAATATATTTATTGTTTATTTGTATTGAATTAATGATAATGAATTCAATCATATAAATTGCACATTGCGTCCCCATGTACTTTATTATTATTTATTTATTTACAGCCATTCTGCACATTTGTGTGAATCCATGAATATGAATAATAATAACTGTGGTCTAACTTTCACTTGAAACTTTTTTCACATTCCACAGTACTTTAGACATTTACACTTTTTCATGTTATGCATCGTTTCAGAATGTGCTACACTGCCTCAAACAAATGCCGAGTCCCTTTGATCTCTTTCTGTCTTTGGCTGTTCCACTCTCTCAGGTTTACATTCCCTGCAGAACCGCTATTGTTCTGGCCAACGAGGAAATCGATTACTTCTACTGAAACACAATCAGCGATTCACCGCCAGATGGAAACCCAGCACACTTCTGTGACTCAACCTACCTCCATTCACAGCGTGTTTGCCATCATCCTTTAGAAAGCCCACGTTTTCCCGAGAATTGAGTACAAGATGTTATGAATACCTTCTATCCCATTTCTGTTCGAGTCATTTTTTCTCTCATTGTTCACAGATTATTGATTATCAAGAATTAGTTTCTCAATATCCCACTGCCCAACTGAGCTAAAGTCTGATTGTCAAACCCTGTTATGTTAAAATTCAAACAAAACTTCATTCAAATGGTTAGATCATTGCCAGATCTTAATTACTACTGAAATTGCTATTCAACTGTGAATAATGTTAAAGTAAATAATCACTTGGATTGTGGTCAGCACTGTATTTATAATACTGTAATTGTGAAAAGTAAATATAATTACTTTACATAAGTTTGATTTGTCTGCTATTTAATTTGACACGAGCACTTTTTGACATTGTGTCAGTGATTTAAGTTCTGTATAAATATGTATGTGCACCAAGTATTAATTCATCAATTCAAGTTAAAAAAAATAAAAAATGGTTTGAGAACGACGTATTGATTACATGTCAGTTCAGTGCTGAGCTCTTGAATTATATAGTTTGTAATACATGAACTCTGTGCAAAGTCATAAAATCTAAGTTATATATTTTCTGACAGGCTGTTATTTCGGTGCCTTTAAAACTTTTCAGTCATAACCAGCTTTTGATGAATATTAATTTGACTAAATTAGATTATTTTTTTTTTATTCATTTATAATATACAATCTGAGATAATATAGCTTGTGCTAATAATAAATATGAATTAATTTTCAGACAGTCGTGTAGCTCAGAGAATGTGCTAATTCACTGCCCGACATGCATGTAAACATCTTTTATAATATATTTTCTTTTTTTTTTCTCTTCAATGACAACAGCTTTTTGTAGCCCTGATCGAGATCCAGAAGTAAGTCTGTGTTTGAAAATATATGAAAATTATGATTGTAATCTTAAAGCTGCTCTCCTCAAGGTGTCATTGGACATCTTGTTTTGTGGTTCTGGTTGGAAGAAATCTAAATTTGCCCTCAATGAATTTGATGCTCTCATAGATGTACGGTAATTGGTAGCATAGGGCATGTCAAAACTTATCCAGGGCCCCAAAACACCCTCGGACCCCAGAGTGTTAAACACTGTGCCATTTGTGGGTGAAAGCCATACTAAACTGAAATAAAGCACTGCTGAAAGAAAGACTGTGCTTGTTCTTTGCTCTTCTGGAACCAAACCGTTTTCAAAAGTAAAATTGCATTCATTTAAAACATTTTTTTTAGCATTTTTATTAGCATTTTAGCTTGCTTTTACCATGGAAACAAGCTGAAAAATTAACCACCCATATGACATAATCGAGTCCTTTTATGATACACTAGTCAAGTATAGTTTTATATTGTACCATTATTGTTGATTTAGTTACAGCAATTTTGTTCTTGCTTTGAATCAACTGGGATTTGTCTCTTGAAGCTGGTTGGTTTGGCTTAAAATTCTTAACTGAAGATTTGTTGTTTTTTTATGTATATGGATATGGAAAGTAAATGTTATTTACTTAATGACATTATTTTTCATATATATATAGTGGTGTATGAATATGTACGGTCTCATTGATTTTATTTGATCTGCTTACACTCCAGTGACAGTTATATTTAGTGATGGACCTTCATGTGTATTTTCATACTAACAATTGTGCATTTTTGTACACACATCTTAAGAATTCATTCAAAATCACCACACCTCATTAAATAGTTACATTTTCCTGTGAGATTGAGCTGAACAAACAATATTCCACAGGTGCCATGCAGTGATATGATGAGGTGTATCTCATTGCAGGTGTGACTATATCATAGATTTTATCACGACTGAATCGCTGTATTGACCAATTAGACACCTGGACCGGAACTCGCTCTTAAGATGTATGCAACTCATAGTGCTTCTAAGGTAGATATTTCCGTTAGTCAGGTTGTATGTGCTTTCACGGCCATTGATCGCAGGCAAATTTGCACTGAGAGCTTGTCGGGTTTAATGCAGTGATTGTATAAAGAGATGTTTAAAAAGGCTTTGTCAGTGACAGTGACATCTTTATCACTGAGATTAACAGATCAAGTCTCTAAAGTGCTCGAAAACCGACAACAAACCACATCATCATGCATTGATATTCAAGGTCCTTGATAGCTTATACTCCATTAAAGTGTTATGTAACTCACCAGAGCATGTTTATTTTGAATAATATTTCTTGTGGTAATCTATAGAAACCTGTTTCTACCTCTGAGTGAAAAATAAAAAAGGAATTGTGAGAAAAGGTTAGAAAAAAAGGTTGCAGTTGGAAGAAATAGTCACAAATTACAATGTATAAAATGACTTTACAAGATATGCTCACATTGTGAGATATAAATTCCTAATTATGAGAAATAAAAAGTTGCAGTTGTGAAGTATAAATCATGTTGCAAGATATCATCGCAATGAGTGATATTAGGCCCCAATGGAAAATCTGAGATTTGCAAGAAAAAAAAATCACATTGTGATATATAAAGTCACAAATACGAGAAACAAAGTCTCACTGAAGTCTAAATTATGAAATATATAGTCACATAACAGATATAAGGCCACACTGCGAGATTAAAAAAAAAAGTCTTAATTGTGAGATATAAAATATGCAGCTATGAGAAACAGTCACAATTGTGGAATATAAAGTCAAACAGAGGTAACAAATTTCACAAGAAACAAAGTATAACAATTTTGCAATAACATTTGCAAAATATAAAGTCACAATTGTGAAATATAAAGTTGCATTGTGAGATATAAAGTCACACTGAGTGAAAGGTTCAACTGTGAGATAAAATGAGAAACCAAGTCACATTGCGAGAGATAAAGTCATACTGAGCGATAAAAAGTCAAAACTATGAGATAAAAACAAATCTGAGAAACAAAGCTGCAATTGTGAAATACAGTCACATGGTGAAATACACTGTAAAATCAGTGAAATATATAAATTCTTAATTACAAGAAACAAAATTGTAATGTGATATATAAAAAGCAAATAATGAGAAACAAAGTATCAATTATGAGATAAAATCACAAATATGAGAAACAAAGGCGCAATAGCAAAATAGTCACACTTAGAGATATAAAGCCAAACTGAGAGATCAAGACTCAGTTACAAGAAACAAAGTCACAAAATTAGATATAAAAATGCAAATACGAGAAAAAAAGGAGCAATTGCAAAACATAGTCACATTTTGAGATACTGTATAAAGCCACACTGCGAGATAAAAAGTCTCAATTGTGAGATATAAAAATGCAATTATGTGAAACAAAGTCACAATTGTGGAATATAAAGTCTAACTGAGAGATAATTATCACAAGAAACAAATATGAGAAACAAAGCAGATCTTTTTGCAAAAACATTTGCAAAATATAGTCACATTCAGAGAGAGCCACACAATGAGATAAAAATTCTCAATTACGAGAAATAAAGTCTCAATCGTGATATGAAAAAATGCCAAAATTAGAAACAACGTCACAATTGTGAAATATAAAGTTACATTGTGAGGTATGAAGTCTGAGCGAAAAGTTCAACTGTGAGATAAAAATGAAAAACAATGTCACAATGCGAGAGATAAAGTCACATTGAACGATAAAAAGTCTCAACTCTGAGATAAAAACAAATCTGAGAAACAAAGACGCAATTACAAAATATAATCACATGGTGAGATACACTGTAAAACCAGTGAGAGATTACATTTTTCAATTACAAGAAACAAACTTGCAATGTGAGATAAAAAGCAAATAATATGAAACAAAGTATCAATTATGAGATAAAATCACAAATATGAGAACCAAATACGCAATTACGAAATATAATCACATGGTGTACTGTACACTGTAAAATAAGTGAGAGATAAAAATGTTCAATTACAAGAAACAAAATTGCAATGTGAGATAAAAAGCAAATGAGAAACAAAGTATCAATTATGAGATAAAATCACAAATATGAGAAACAAAGGCACAATAGCAAAATAGTCACATTTGGAGATATAAAGCCACACTGAGAGATCAAGACTCAATTACAAGAAACAAAGTCACAAAATGAGATATAAAAATGTAAATATGAGAAACAAAGTAGCAATTGCAAAATATAAAGTCACATTGTGAGATATAAGGTCACATTGCGAGATAAAAAGACTTAATTATGAGAAACAAAGTCACGATGTAAGATAAAAAATGCAAATACAACAGTCACATTGCAAATCAAAGTCATACTGAGAAATACAGTCATATACTCAAAGTCATACTGAGAATAAGTCAACTACAAGAAACAAACTCTCAATGTTGATACATACAGTTACAATAGCCTTTTTTTACTTACAGTAGAGAAGGGAATGGGCTTCCAATACCAGCAGTAAAGCCGTTTGATCACTTTCCGTTGCAAAGGGCCTTATGTTAACTGCTCAACCATATGGTCAGTTTTATATTTTGTTGGCTGAGCACTAGAAACATTCATATTCAAAACCCATCAGTTCAACGCAAGCACTGAACATCTCATTTACCTTTATGTAACACCAAAAGGACTTAAAATCACTGGCTGTAATGCTAAAACCTTTGAGAGGGCCACTTTGCATAAATATCTGCCTCTTCCACAAGGACCATTGTGAATTTGAAGGAGGACGCTGTGCTTAATCGTACCTTTCATCCTGACCAATGGCATTTTCATTAGAGTTCTTGAACTGAATGTGTTAATCTAAACGGGAGGAGTCAACAGGAGCACTGGGACTGCTTTGTTTCGCCTGTCTTTTTAGCTAATCAAGTCTGCTGTTCGTCATTAATCACCTCTGTGACTGTGTGGAAATCAAGAGCGACTGAAGAAAGCTGTGACCTCAGACTCCCCCGCAAGGTCATGGATATGTGGACAATGGCTTCTTTTTATGCTTATTTTTCTTCCCTCTTTTTTTGCTCTGCTTCATCTGTTCCTCCGTCTCGACTTACTGATGCACCATGTAAATCATCCTCTTTCATTGACACTTTGTGATGTATGTTTGGCCTTTAATGTAGTACTGGAGAATGTGCGCTGTATCTATCTTGCGTTTCCCTCATGGGTCGGATAAACTTGCATTATCTCACTGATGAGCCAGCAAATGGCAGTACTAATGAGATTTCACTTGGGTTTTGTCAGAGCTCCTGTTCCCCATTGGTTGCAAAGGGATCAACTGTTGTTCAGATGTTGCTGGCCGTTCTTAAAGGTTCCATGAGGGACACTGGCTGTGGTTTGTCCTCATATTCATGAAGGTAACAGTGAATAATACACAGTTCTGTCACTGCTCACTGGCGTTATACTCAGAGTTTGTGGAGTAATGCTTCCATCTTGTGGAATGAGTATGTCAGCGTCCTAGGTCTACTGTTATTAGAGGATATTTTATAGAGTCTTGATCCCACTTTAGACATTTAATAAAGTAAGTCCAAAATCTTAATAATGATGTATATTTTGAATGTATATTATTTAGGTGGAATTACTAGTTTATGCTTTGTTTATTTAACAATTTTGTGATTTATCCAGGTAACTTGCTGTAAGAAGATATTTTAAGACATACTGATTTCCCCTGTACACACTCAATAAATAAATAAACAAATACATAAATGAATAAAGATTAAATAAAGACTAGTATTTATACATTTTGAATTGCATGTGAAATTTCCATCCATCTAAATTAGTTTAAACTACTAAACTTAACGTAAGATTTCTATACTCTAAATTTTTTTTATTATAAATATTATTAATATTTGCATTTATTTGATTAGATTTTTTTTTTCTTTTCAAAATGCATTAATTAAAATTGCTTTAAGAAGAAGCATCAATATGTTCAATGAGAAAACAATTACATTTATTCCATTAAAAAGTATAAACATGCTTAAAATGTGGCTAGCAGTGAAACAAGCAATATTCATTCAATCTGAAACAAATTGGATTTAATGATGATAAATATTCAAACCTGACTATTGTGCATTTAAAACACATTCAGTATATTATTACTATTACAGAAACTGTATCTGTTTTATTTATGTATCACAAATATGCATGACATTAAATTGATTTGTGTTAAATATTATATAAATCTTACATTTAGGCCTTTTTTAGTGCTTTTAAAGGGTCATGAAACCCCAGACTACTTTTTATGAGATTTTAGATATTCTAG